GGGTCATTAATTGCCAATAACCGATCAATCACCGATCAATGGCTCGTGGTGTCCCCAGAGACGAAGCAGGAGCTCGAGGATCTCACGGCCGACATCAAGAAAACGGCGAACAAAGTGCGCTCCAAATTGAAAGGTGAGTGACCACCGAGTGACCACTGAGTGACCACTGACCACTGAGTGACCACTGACCACTGAGTGACCCCTGAGTGACCCCTGAGTGACCACTGAGTGACCACTGACCACTGAGTGACCACTGAGTGACCACTGAGTGACCACCGAGTGACCACTGAGTGACCGCCGAGTGACCACTGAGTGACCGCCGAGTGACCACCGAGTGACCACTGACCACTGAGTGACCGCTGAGTGACCGCTGACCACTGACCACTGAGTGACCACTGAGTGACCACTGAGTGACCACTGACCACTGACCACTGAGTGACCACTGAGTGACCACCGAGTGACCACTGAGTGACCACTGACCACTGACCACTGAGTGACCACTGAGTGACCACTGACCACTGAGTGACCCCTTAGTGACCAATGAGTGACCACTGACCACTGACCACTGAGTGACCACTGAGTGACCACTGACCACTGACCACTGAGTGACCACTGACCACTGAGTGACCCCTTAGTGACCAATGAGTGACCACTGACCACTGAGTGACCACTGAGTGACCACTGACCACTGACCACTGAGTGACCACTGACCACTGAGTGACCCCTGAGTGACCCCTGAGTGACCCCTGAGTGACCCTGAGTGACCCTGAGTGCCCGCTGTCCGGAGTGTGTGGTCAGTGGCCGGACACTGAGTGCCCGCTGTCCGGAGTGGCCGGACACTGAGTGCCCGCTGTCCGGAGTGTGTGGTCAGTGGCCGGACACTGAGTGCCCGCTGTCCGCAGCCATCGAGCAGAGCATCGAGCAGGAGGAGGGGCTGAATCGCTCCTCGGCCGACCTGCGCATCCGCAAGACACAGGTGAGGCCTTCGGCCTCGGCGGCGTCGCCATCATCATCATCAACGTCATCAATGTCATCATCATCATCATCATCATCATCATCATCATCGCCATCATCTTCATCAATGTCATCATCGTCATCCTCAACGTCATCAATGTCATCTTCATCATCATCATCATCGCCATCATCGTCATCATCGTCAATGTCATCATCATCAATTTCATCTTCATCATTGTCATCATCATCCTCGTCATCAATGCTGTCGTCATCGTCATCGTCAGCAGCAGCAACATTGCTATTGTACGATGTCACCTGTCTCACCTGTCCATGTCTCACCTGTGTCTCACCTGTATCTCACCTGTCTCACCTGTCCATGTCTCACCTGTGTCTCACCTGTATCTCATCTGTATCTCACCTGTCTCACCTCCCGTATCTCACCTGTCTCACCTGTGTCTCACCTGTGTCTAACCTGTCTAACCTGTGTCTCACCTGTCTCACCTGTGTCTCACTTGTCTCACCTG